TAAAGAAACAAATTGCGAGCTCTTTTGGATTTTTTTTGGGGATTCTGGTTGTCGAAGGACACTTGTGTCTTAAGTTGTTGTTGTTGTAGCTACATCGAGCTCTGCTTTGAGCTTCTGATTCAATTAGAGGGATCGCTTATGTTTGAGAGATCGAAGGAGAGAGTTAGGGAAATATTGTTCCTGTCTGGTCATGTTGATTTTGTCTCATTCAGTCTATCACTGCAGTTCCCACAGGGTTTCTAGCGGCAAACCAGCGTAGAATGGGAACCACCTGTTCCAGTGATTAGTATCATTAGTAGTTCCGTTTTCTCGAATGATTCGCTAAGGAAACACTAAAAAAATTAATTAGAACTATACTGCGACTTGTTCCTGAATGGTTCCCCTCTATTAAATAAATATTTGCGAGCTCTAGGTGTATTTTTGCCAAGTGAGCTGTTTTTTAGGCTTTGTCTATGATTGTTGCACAAACCGGCACGTAAGTTCATGCTATTGAAAAAGTTTTCAAGCGCTTATGAACATTCGTAGGTTACCCCTGAGCAATCTCCACTCCAAACGAGAAAGGGAGGAGATTGCTAAATTGATTTGATGAAGTTTTTTGTCTGCTTCCTTGAATTCATTAACAATTTGCTAGCTGCCTTTTGGTATCTATCTATGTCTATCTATACTATATTTAAATGCTAGTGACAGCTATCGCCCATGTTTAAGCATAATAATTTTGCATGTTTAACGAAAGAATTTTTTCATGTTTAAGCTATATCATATATTGCAATGCTTAAGAAAATTTTTCAATTAATTTTCCGCAAGGTCATTATTTTTTCAGTATTTTTTTTCGAGGCCAAATTAAGTCTGTCTGTCTGTATACCTGCTTTTTTAAAATTAATTTGATTATGTCTGTCTACCCGTCTCCTAATTTTTTAAAAACTTTTTTTGTGTCAAATCTATTATATAGTTAAATTCGGTCTTCACTATCTCGCCATGTTTAAGCTTTTTCAACGTATTTTTTTGCATCTTTAACAAAAGAATTTTTTCACGTTAAGCTATATCGTGTATTGCAATGATTAAGGTTTTTTTTTCGACTTTCCCGTTTAAATTCAGTTTTTATTTTATCAAGTTTGTTCTTAGCAACCCAATAGTTGGATGTTGTCAGAGTTTTCCCAGGTTTTGCGATGCTGGCCTCCATATATGAATAACCAAATTTTTGTTGTTTTCGAGATAAGACGTTTTAAATGATTTTTCAAAAATTTTTCAAAAACTTAGATGTTAAAAAATTTCAATATGTTGAAGATCTCAGTCCTGTTGTTGGATTTTGTGAGGGTACTCTCAGGGGTTGCGAATCTTGCCTCTAATTATGGGGGCTCAGATCTAGTAGTTTTCGAGATATGACGTTTTTTTTAGGATTTAAAAAAAGTTCAGAAAACTTGTATATAAAAAATCACAAAATTTGATATTCCCATCTCGGTGGTGAGGCTCTGTCAGGGTACTCCCAGGAGTTATGAATTTTGCCTCCAAATATGACTGCTCAAAACCTTGCAGTTTTCCAGATATGACTTTTTTGTGATTTTTTTTTTCAAAGTTTGAAATTCCTAACCTGTAGTTGGGGGCTTTAGAGTAATCTCAGGAGTTGCAAATTCGGCCTCCAATTAAGAATGCTCAAATCTTTTTAGTTTAAGAGATACGACAATTTTTGTGATTTTTTTTTGAAATTTTCAGAAAACTCAAATTACAAAATAGTTCACTAAAGTGAAATTCCCAAACCTGTAGTTGTGTGCTGTCAGAGTACTTTCAAAGATTGCTATTATTGCCATCTTATAAGACTGCTCAAATCTGGGTAGTTTTCGAGCTAATGAGACCCGAAGCAGCCCCCAGCACCCCGAAAACAGAAAGCAAGCGAACGCAAAAGCCTCAAGATCTATCGGAGCTAGTCTCAGCAAAGATCGAAGAAGGAGACATGAAGAGCGGAATAAGGCTAGCAAGCTCCGCCGAAACCATGGCTCCAAACGATAAAGCTACGTTACTGCTCTTGCGAAGTAAGCATCCGGTTTCTCCGGCGAATACCCGCTAACTTGGTTCTGTCGGGCGGAGTTCCAGAATACTTTCGCCCTTTCTTCTTCGGGGCGAACCTGTTTGCCTTCTCGAAACCAAAAGGTGGTATCAGACCCATCGCAGTAGGGAACACCCTGATGCGTCTCGTCGCTAAATGTGCTCAACGGAAATTGCTGGAAAAACGGGTAGCGAAAGATGGCGTAATGCAACTTGGATGTTAGATACCGAGAGGGTGTGAAGCCGCATCGCACGAAATGCGACATTATATTCAGGACACAAGCCGCCACCGAAATCGTGAAGGAGTTCAACAAGGCGATCCTGAAGGCCAGCCTCTTTTCATTGACGCCTTAACGGAAATTGTTGAAGGAGTCACAAGCGAAATGAACGAGTGGTACCTAGACGATGGCAACATCGCAGATGAGGCTGATGTAATACTAAATGATTTTCCACGGCTCATTGTTGGTTTTGCGAATATGGGCCTTCAAACAAACTACTCCAAGTGCGAGCTCGTGTTCTTAGACAACCAAGAAGAGCATAACCGGGCGAAGATTTTGAAGAAGTTCAGGCAAATTTGCACACCCATTGAAACAACCGAAATAGAAGACCTTGTTATCCTAGGCTCACCCCTCGGAAAGCGGAGCCTGGAAAAAACTCTGACAGAAAAGAAAGAAGATCTCGAACGCCTATCACTGAACTTGAAGAAACTTGAAAACCATCATGCGCTATCACTTCTTAAAAGCGCCTTCTCTATTCGAAAGCTCCTCTTCATTTTGCGTACATCACCATGCTTCAAACAACCGGTCCTTCTCAAAAAGTACGATGAGATCTTGCGGTTAAGTCTCGAATCAATCTCAAACGTCAAGATAGTTGACACCTCGTGGGAACAGGCAACGCTCCCAGTAAAATACGACGGAATCGGTTTGAGTTCAGCTGTCCAGCTCGCCCCATCTGCATTTCTTGCTCCAGCGGCCGGCAGCGAAAAACTCATCTCCGAGATTCTTCCCGAGGACACACACCTTGACGACGAGCTTTTGTTTTCGGCCATCGAGCATTGGCACGCCCTCTCGGATGCTGACTTGACGGTTGTGATCAAGGAGCCCGCAGCACAAAAAGACTGGTCCGCAGCTGTCAACAAGCAAAAGTTCGCGCGCATCCAATTGGTGAACGCAAACAATGAGACACCGAGAGCCAGAGTTCTGGCATACCAAGGAAAGATAGCTGGCGCATGGCTAAACGCATACCCCTAAAAGCAATCGGACTCAAGCTCACTGACGATCAGATACGAATCTCCCTCGGACCACGACTGGGAGTTCCTCTTTGCGAACCTCATTTATGCAGCTGTGGCAGTGAGATGAGAGCCGACGGACGCCATGGTCTGTCCTGTAAAAGGAGCTCAGGGCGATTTCCCAGGCATTCAATGATCAACGACATCATAAAACGAGCACTTACCTCTGCAGGCCTCCCGTCTCAGCTTGAACCTGTTGGTCTCACCCGCTCGGACGGGAAAAGAACTGATGGCGTTACCTTGGTACCATGGTTCAGAGGTGCAAGTTTAGCATGGGATGCCAGTAGTTGATGCACTGGCCCCTAGCAATATACTACGAAGCTCCACCCACCCAGGGTCTACAGTAATAGCGGCTGAAGAGCGAAAGACCACTAAATATCAAGAACTGACTGACAGGGGCTACATATTCCAACCTATAGCCTTTGAAGTCCAAGGGAGAGCAGGCCCGTCTACCGAGAATTTTTTGTTCGATTTGGGCAAACGGCTCATCAAGGAAACTCACAACAAGAAGGCATATAGCCAACTTATCCAAAGACTGTCAATTGCAATTCAAATGAGTAACGCAGCCTCTGTTATGGGTACAATGCCAGAACAATGCAGAGAACTGCTCATTTTGGAATAGCTTTGGATTAACTTGATTTTAAATAAAACTCCCATATTCCAAAAAAAATCTGTAAATATCTGTTTTTGTGTATTTTTTACTCGCGTCTTAATTGACTTTTAAGAATTTACAGTTCTTGTAATCGAAAAAAAAAGTTTTCGAGATGTGAAATTTTTTCTGGTTTTCAAAACAAAATACCTCTTTTTAGAAAACTTAAGGTGAAGTTTCTCAAAATTTGAATTTCCCAACGTTGTAGTTGGGTACTGTAAGAGTACTCTCAGGAGTTGTAAATCTTGCGTCCAAATGCGACTGCTCAAGTGCTTTTAGCTTCCCAGATGTGACGTTTCTTAATTCATTTTAAATTTTTCGAAGAACTTATATAAAACTTCACAAAATTTTATGGTTCTTCAAAATTTGTATAAAAAAAATTAATAAAATATTGCAAATTTTGTAATTACGAACCCTGTAATTGGGTGCTGTCAAAGCACACTCAAAGAATGCAGATCTTGTTTCCAATATCTGCGGTTTATCATGAGTACCGGAGGTGCGTTTTACGCTAGTTAATTTTTAATTTAAAGATCTCGATTTGAACAAGACCTGGGATCTTAGTAAAGATTTGAAAAGCCCTAGCTTTCCAAACCCTAGATTCTGACTGCTTGTTGCTGCTAAGAGTTGTCGTTTAACGAACAGAATCGACTTCGAAGTTCATTTTCGTCTTGCTCTTTATTTCCCCGTTTTGTACAGAAATTTTGGAGTTTGATTTAAAGACCCTGAGCTTGATACGAGGAATTTTCTGTTTTTATAAGCTTAGGCGAAATGTAGTGTTGGCTATCGCGTATTACGCAACATTTCAGTTAAGTTTGTTATATTAAATCAAGAGCCGACTGTTGTTGAGATTTGCTTTTGCGCCTTGTAAATCCCGCTATTGATTGAATAGGTGGTTTTGATGTTTGTGCTTCGGTTTGCATAGTAGTAAAGTCCACCGCCACCTTGGTGGTATTACGATATTCTAGACGACAGTTGAATATTGTATCAATCGTTTGCCACTCTTATTTTGTTATCTATCATTGCAAAGTCCTGACTACTTGTTCGACAATTTCTCAACTGCTGAATGTTTAACTTTGATTATATTATTATGCTCAATAACTTCGTTTGGCACTAGTGTTCATGTTCTGTTTGAGCTCGATAGAAAACAACATGACACTTTTACACTCACCTGACAAAAATTTGAATTATTCGCTGATTACTGATCCTGTTCTGCGCCTTAACAAATTAGATTGGCAAGTTGCTGACGTTAAGCCATCTCATTTTCACTTATTTTTTGTGGTTTGAAAAATTAATAAATTGTTCTTTTATTACTTTAACAGCTGCTCATGTTATGCATATTGTTATTTTTGTTGTAAGTTTCAAGCGGTTTTGATTATCCACCCCTACATGCTTACTTTTTTATAATAATTTGTTTCCGTGTGGTATTCACTTGCTGTTCCTATAACAATTTGAGCTTCTTTAATTTTTCTTTACTTTATTACCCATTCAAAGGAGGAAAGTATGGATTAAATTTTACTCGAGGTAAATTAATTTTAATTTAAAGGTTTTTGTTTAGTTTTTCCCTTTCTTCTGTTTCTAACTAGAGTTTCAACCGGGAGAAAAATGCAAAGCTCTTTTTCTTCAGCGCCTTAATTGAGTTGGAAGAAGCAGTAAATTTTGAAAATGCAAAATAGTGAGGAGGATTTTTATTGAGTATCTAGCCAACTTATTCTGCTTTAATCCTCGTTTCGATTGCTGTCGCCTCTTTTGTTTTCTATATTTTGTTGACCATAAATTCTTCCCAGCCAGGTAGCATTTATACCAGCATCAGTCTTAATTCACCTACTTGAGGAGTGCATCCGCCGGCTCTCTCAGTTTCACCGGCCGCCGTTCATATCTTGTCTAGGTTTCCATCACCGCCCTTCCGTTGGGCTGCATCAGAAGTAGGAGTATTGGTAGTAGTTAGGCCAATAGCTCCGCTGCTACTACCAATCCAGCTTGTCTTGCCTTATCATCCGTTATTTCACTCACAAATGCCGCGAGCTTTTTCCCTTCTTGTGCCTATTGCTTTCCTTATTTTTATTCCCTACTAAATTATACATTCTTGATATAATACACACAAATATCGATTTTCCGCATTTTTCGTCTCCATTCAATTATTTTAACTGAAACAACGCTGCTGAGCGCTACTTGAAAAATTTATTGTGTCGTTTAACGCGCCTCTCTCAACTTTCAATATACGAGCCTAGCTTTGCGATGGTGGTGAATATCAAGCGACACTTTTTCCTGTTGTTTTCAACTCGCTTTATTTCATTTTAAACTTTCCTTCCATTCCATCTTGATTGATCTATTCCGATTGTTTTTCTCTTGTGACTTCACGCTGTTTAGTTAATCGCTTCGTTAACTTTGAATGAATGAAATAGTTATCGCTTTTTTTACCTTGAATGAGTGAACTAATTACAGGTTAGAATGGATTTAGAGCAGCCACACTCCGTTCCGGCTGCCTTTGGATCCTCGACCCCACCGTGCAACCCAACATCCGGAAGCCCCGCATCTTCTGCCGACGATTCAACTATCCTCTCCAAAACTCCACCTGCTCAAAACCGGAAGAGTCCGTCCTCAACCCTCGTTAGAAATCTGGTCCCTTCGCCTCGAGGGGTCAAGCGGAAGTCTAGCCTGACTCAGCAGGGTAACTCTGCCCCAATTGGAACTTCACCCGATGCAAGCAGTTCTGGTTTCGGACCTCCCAGCAAATCTAGCTTTATCAGCAATCCTGCTGCCAATACAGCTTTCTCAGGACCACAGTTTAATAACGGTAGATTAATACAAATACATATTGACTATATTAGAAGATCAATTATAATCTCCTCCTGAGTTAACCAGAGACAGCTCGTTAGTGAACTAGTGCAGAAAAGGCCATTCACGAAGATCCAATTAATTAATTAAAAGAATATATTCATCCATGCATCCATGTTAACGTGAACAATTTTTTACCTGGGAATACTTAGGAATACTTTGACAAAATAAACAAATTGTTTTTGCTAAGGGCATTTTTTGACCTACACGGAGCATCAAAACTTGTTATCCGTAATCGTTGTGGATTTGTTATTTAAACCAAATGTTTCAGGTGCAGCCGAGTATTCGATGCACAGCAATTTTGGTCCTCAATACAATCCCCAAAATTCAAATCAGAACAATGTGGAACCACCTAGAATGTCTGAAATGACGTCATTTCACTCGCCGGTCACTCTCAACAATCAGTTCGGAGCTCCAAATCACCTACAGCAGCACACGACAGTGCGACTGTTCTCAACATCCATGCTCAACAGAGCAGAATCCTTCATATCCAGGGGCCAATGCGCTCACTTGTCCTCTTTTCACGCCAACGAGGCCAACAGTGTCAAGTTCATTAATCCAATCGAGGTAAGTAATAAATGGTGCTCGCACGGGCTAAACTCTCTTGTGTTCTAGACGGCAATATAGAAAACATACAGTAAAACATTTGAGCTAAAGTTTGTGGATCCTATTTCATGTTTAGTTTACTCATTGGCAGTTTGTAATTTCACAAAATTCGTACTGCTCATGTGCTAAAAATTTTAATCTTGAAGGGCGACGACTAATAGTTGCATGCCAAAAGGTACAAACGCATCAATTGAATGAATGTTATAATGTAAGTGTTCATAGATTCCACCCTTTGTTGCTTAAATCTAATTAATTCAATGAATAATGATTGGAAACAGCATTTTTCTTTCAGGATGACAAAATGAAGCTGAATATCAAAATGGAGGCGCAACAAAAGTATAGCACAAATAAGGCCAACACAGCCATTGCAAACATGAAGGCACTCACAGATTCTATCCCGACCCCGCGCTCCTGGCAACACCACTCTCCCGGAAATGCTGGACTCTCGCCGGCTACAACAAACGCAGTGTCGACAGTGCCACCGGGACAACTAATAGGCACTAACGCTAATATGCCGCCGGGAAACAACGTAGGAGATGTATCCAACCAAGGAGCTCAGAATCAACCAACTTCACAAGCAAACGGAACACTCCATACGAATATAAAACAGGTTTGCTCTCTAGCTGGGCTTTTCGATCATCAAAATAGAAGTAATTTTCAAAATGGTTATTGAAGTTGTTGATAAATAGAAAAAATTCGAAAAGTATTTGTTTGTTTATTGTATTAGGGGTACGCGATAGGCTCTGAATACCAGAAACATTGAAGAAATTCCGTAATATATTCGAGAATTCTAAATTTCAACCCAAAGAAACTCAATGTTAAACCCAATGTTAAGATAATAAATTACCAAATTAAGCACAAGGATAGCCGGTTGCTGTACAAGTAGCTCAGAATACAAATTCTTTATTGCAAAAAATGATTGTTCCGCCAATTATAATATGCTGTTGTTGTTGTTGTTGTTAGCCCACGCGGGTCGGGTTGGGCTCTTCTGTCTCCAGGTCAAGGAACTTAGCAACCTCTACCGGCCGAAGCCACAGGTCTGCTGGGGTGAGTGGGGAGGGGTTTTGGGAGCAGTTGAAAAGGTGACATGTTGTGTGGGGGGCAAGGGAACAGGTTGGGCAAAGGTGGGAGATGGAGCTGTCGAGGCGGGATAGGTAAGTGTTAAGGAGCCGGCTGTAGCCAGACCGGAGTTGGGAGAGCTTACAGCGCGTGGGACGTGGGAGAGATTTTTCAGAGGGGTCAATCTTTGGGGGAGGGATACAAATAACTTTAGACGGAGGGGTTTCGGCTAGGAACTTGGTTACAAGGGAGGTATGGTTGTCTTTTAAAATTGGTTTGTAGTAGTTAAAAATAAAAGTGGAGACTTCGTCTCGGTCGTCCAGAACTAGAGGGTGGTTTGCGTAGACTGAAAAGTCGGTTAAAATTTTCTGGGTGTCTTCTTTGAAGCAGCTTATAATTGAGGGGCGAAGTAGACGGGGAGGAGGGGGATGTGAATGTATAAAATTAATGGGATGGTGGGAACGATAGGTAGAGATAAAAAATTGAGATGACAGAAGGGTATGGTGGTCTTTGACCGTTAGGATTTCAGATTCACTGTGCAGGTGGGCAGTTGAACTCATTAGATTTGATCCAGTAACAACGCGAAGGGATTGGTTTTGGGCAACCTGCAGGCAATTTATGGAGGTGTTACTTGATGCGTGGGACCATGCGGGGGCTGCATAGTCAAGTATGGGGCGAATTAAAGCTTTAAAAGTTAGGAGGAGGGTTTCTTTGGAGTGACCCCAGGTTGATCCTGCTAATGCCTTCAGGATTCCGATCCTGCGTCTGGCCTTTTCAGCGGATTGTTTGCAGTGAGTGGCAAAACAAAGTGTTGGATCAAATGTCACCCCTAAGATTGTTGGATTTTTGTTTAGGGGTAGCGCCTCGTTATTTAAAAGAACACTAGGTGTTTTATTAAATTCTTTGTTATAAGAGGAGAAAAGTGTAACTGATCCTTTAGAGGACGCGAAACTTAGTTTGCGTGAGGTGAAAAAATCGTAGAGCCTTTTTAGGTAGCTATTGAGGGAGTTTGAGGCGATATCAATATTGGAACTGCTTGCGAAGGGGTGGAAATCGTCTGCATACGAAACAAGGTTTACATTATCGGGAGGTGGCGGTGCATCATGGACATAAAAATTGAAGAGTGTGGGTGATAAAACAGAACCTTGGGGTACGCCACAGTGGATTATTCGATGGGGGGATGTGTGTTCACGGAATGAGGTGGCAGCCTGTCGACCATTAAGGTAATTACTTAGCCAGCGGACTAGACTTCTTGGGAGGGGAGTGTCATGAACGAGTTCCACAAGTGAGCGATGACACACCATGTCGAAAGCCTTAGATAAGTCAAGTGTGGCCAGTACCGTACGTTTAGGGGGGCGATTTTGGTTAAAACCGTCTGAAATGTAAAATTCGAGAGTGGAGAGAGCTGTGGTGGTGGAGTGAAAAGGGCGGAAGCCGTGTTGGTGTTTGGCGTTGGGGAGATGTTTGGTAAAGATGGGGTGAACGAGCCTCTCCAGAATTTTAACTGCTGGGCAGAGTAAGGATATAGGTCTGTAAGATGTTGATTGTTTAAGATCCTTATTGGGCTTTGGAAGCGGTGCAATTTTTGAATTTTTCCAAATTTGGGGGATAATGTTTTCGGACAAAGAGATATTAAAAAGGTATGTTAAGTATTGAGTAGCAAGTGGGCCGAGATGTTTAAGATGTATATTACAGAGGCCGTCGGGACCTAGCGCTCGCGATGGTTTGCTGTCTGCAATGGCTTGTTTAGTATTTTCAGGGGTAAAAATTGGGCTGTCTGACAGTGGTAGTTTGGCAATTTTTCTTCTCGTTATACGAAGGAGTTTGTCAGAGGCGTGGGGTCTGGCATTGGTGAATTGTTTGTTAAAAGAGCTGGTAATATCACGAGGTGAGTGTATGGGTTTAGAACCAAAAGTAATGGGGTGTCTTCCTGCCACGGGCTTAGATCCATTTAAGGAGCGTACCACTTTCCAGAACTTTCTGGCACCAGTGCGGTAGTCGCAAGTCCGGAGGAATTCTCGCCATTTATTTTCTTTGTCCTTTGCTGTCTGTTTCATGAGTCTACAGTTCAGTTGGGATATGACTTCTGGGGGGAGATTTTGTTTTCGGCTTAAATCTCTTTCGGCGGCTAGGGCAGTGGACTCGGGGGAAAGAGAGGGAGTGAAGTGGCGAATACGGCCAGCGGGGATGTGGTGGCGTGCTGCCCTGAGCACCAGGTCCCTCAAGAATTTCTCTCCAGCGGCAACTCCGGAAGGTGGAACCGCTGAAAAGAAACCCTCCTCAATTTCCTCTGTGAATTTGATCCAATCTGCTTTTAAAAAATTTACAAAAGTCCTTTTAGGCGAAAAATTTATAAAATCATCCAAGGGTAGTTCTAGAAGAATGGGTAGGTGATCTGATCCTAGAGATTTAATTGGGGTCCATGATGTGGAGAGTAAGAGCGATTGGGATGCGAGGGAAATATCTGGTGACGAGAGTTGGTTTTCTGAGTTAAAAGGGACTCTGGTTTGTGTGTCATCATTTAATGGAGCAAAGGTGGATTCGGTTATTTCATTGCTAAGTACAGAGCCGCGTTGATCTTCCTCGATGTTGGAGTTCCATAGTTGTGAATGTGCGTTGGCATCTCCGAGTACTAAGGCGTCCCCAGGTTCAAGTAGTTCGGCAAGGGACGCAGAGTAACCAGGGGGACAGCTCGAGCGAGGGGGGATGTAGAAATTATAAATACGAAGCTTGGATGAACTGGCTACCACTGATATGCCCATAGCCTCTAGTGTTCCATCGTTGTTAATATTTATTTCTTCGTATTGTATCGACTCATGTATGGCTATGAGAAGACCGCCCCCTTCTTTTTCTCGATCTTTTCTAATTAAAGTGTAGTGTGAGCCAAGTGAGGGGTTTCGAGATTTCTTTCTTAATTTAGTTTCTTGGAAGACAGCAATATGAATTTGATTTTGAGATAAGAAAGCAGCAATTTCGGGTGCTTTTCCGGAGATACCGTTGCAATTAAATTGAAGGATTTTTAAAAGGCCTTTGGCAGGGTGTGGTGAACTATTTACATTATTAACAGCAGTATGATTAAAATGGTTGTTTGAACTTGAGTTATTTACACTATTTACACGATTACGATTTGCGCGATTTTGGGAGGAGGAATTATTATTCGAGGAGGTGGGAAGGGTGGGAGGGGGAGGGGGGTTAGGGAGGTGGGGTTGGGGGGCGGTTAGGGAAGTTGAACAAGTTTGGGAGTTGGGGGTGGTCAAGTTAGAGGACCTGGTGCCTGGGGGAGGTAAAATGTAGGTAGAGGTACAGGTAGGGCAATAGTAGTCAAGGTGGTGTTGGTTAAGGTGGGTAAGACCACTACATTTAAGGTGAATGTAACCACAGATGTGGCACCAGACGCTGGGCTGGGTGCGTTTGATGCGGAAAGAGCAAGGGGAGCAAAAGTAAGGCCCTGGACCAGGGTTTGGATTAATGCCGGAGCGGAGTAGTAGTATAAGGATGAGCAGACGGAGCAGCCTGGCCGGCTTCAGACGCTCCGTAACCGAAAACCCGGAGACTTCGGAGCTTCTCCCGACCCAATGGGAGGGGGGGCTTGACGCCATTTGCATCTTGGTGGGGCCATCCATAATATGCTGTCAAAATATATATTATTGAACCATTTATGTGGAAATGAAAGTGTTCATTTTGATCAAAAACAAGCTATTAAGTACTGCCAATGCTAAGGGTATTAAACACAGATTATTGTTATTTCGACTTTCATAACGAAAGTAACGGAATGTTTGTGCTCGGGGTGTTTTTTTTCTTCAGACAATTCGACTTTTTAACTAGCTAATTTGACGGAATTTTAAAAATTCATTCAAAAAGTTGTGTTGTTCTGCGCTTAAATTTGAAAAGACATTTGACCTGTGATCATTTTTCATAAAGTTATGGGGGTTGAAAGATTGCCATTTTGACCAATTTGGGACAATTAACGCGCGATATATTTCGCGCTATTAACGCGTAAGCGGAGATTTCATCCGTCTTAGAAATCGTTCCAAATTGGTTGAAGGAAGTTTTTTCACCATGATTGATTAGTGAGTAGGAGCGAAATTTATCACTTTGTACTTAATATGGCGTGTGGGCGATGATTTTCACAAAATATCTCAAATTTAAAAAAAAATTCATTTTATTTTTATTACATTAATTTTTTTCATTTTATTACTGCTCCACAGACTGCTCTATAAACTGATGCTTGTTAGTTGGTACTTTTTTTCAAATAGACTGGTACTGGTTATCCTTCATAATTGGCGTGCGTCACTTAAGAAGTTTTGTAGACTCAAAATTTTACTAATTCAGTTTTTCCCAGTAGCGTTATCGGTCATATTTTTGCTTGTGTATGCGAAGTGCAACTTCGACTCTGTGTTTATAAAGCTTCTTTTTTGTCGTGTTCTCGCTAGTGTTTGCGAAGCGCAGCTTCGCCTCTGTTTCAAGAAATACAATTATAAAAGAGTCGACAAATTCACAGAGCTATGTGATATTTATTTTAATATGAAACTCGAAAGCGTTTCAAAAAGT